GCCGCGTCGGTGCGTCGGGCGCCGTGTACATGGCGGGCGGTGCTTGGAAGTACCTGACAGCTGAGCTGCTGGAGCTCTCCGTGAAGGCGGCGAGCCAGCAGGCCAAGAAGCCGAAGCGCCTGACGCCCCGCACGGTGACGCTCGCCGTGCGCCACGACGACGACCTCGGCACGCTGCTGCGGAACGTGACCCTGTCGCGCGGTGGCGTGATGCCGAGCCTGAACAAGGCGCTGGCGAAGAAGCACAAGAGCGGCAAGAAGGCGAGGGCGACGCCCAGCGCTTAGAGGACCCCCAGGCTCCTGCCGCAGAGACGGCGCATCCCGCTAGATCCACCCGGGGAAGCGTCCTTGCCCAGCCACAGTGACCCACGTGTGGCCCCATAGAATAGTTTTCTTTTCCCGACTTCTCCCCTCGCCCCCGCCGCGGGACTGCGCAACGCTTTGCTCTCCGCCCCTGGCTGCGGCGTGGCGTGCTGGGCGCTGTGTCTGCGTCGCGCGCCGCATGTCTCCCTTTGTTCGCCCTTTGTTTTCCAAGATCGCGGTCGCAAGAAGCGGACAAGCCACTTTTCAACATACTTTTTTTTTTCTGCAGTCGAACGATGGCAACCCCGAAGCAGGTGGCGAAGAAGGCGTCGAAGAAGCGCGGCGGCAGCCGCTCTGCGAAGGCCGGCCTGATCTTCCCCGTGGGCCGCGTCGGCTCCCTGCTGCGCCGTGGCCAGTACGCCCGCCGCGTCGGTGCGTCGGGCGCCGTGTACATGGCGGCGGTGCTGGAGTACCTGACAGCTGAGCTGCTGGAGCTCTCCGTGAAGGCGGCGAGCCAGCAGGCCAAGAAGCCGAAGCGCCTGACGCCCCGCACGGTGACGCTCGCCGTGCGCCACGACGACGACCTCGGCACGCTGCTGCGGAACGTGACCCTGTCGCGCGGTGGCGTGATGCCGAGCCTGAACAAGGCGCTGGCGAAGAAGCACAAGAGCGGCAAGAAGGCGAGGGCGACGCCCAGCGCTTAGAGGACCCCCAGGCTCCTGCCGCAGAGACGGCGCATCCCGCTAGATCCACCCGGGGAAGCGTCCTTGCCCAGCCACAGTGACCCACGTGTGGCCCCATAGAATAGTTTTCTTTTCCCGACTTCTCCCCTCGCCCCCGCCGCGGGACTGCGCAACGCTTTGCTCTCCGCCCCTGGCTGCGGCGTGGCGTGCTGGGCGCTGTGTCTGCGTCGCGCGCCGCATGTCTCCCTTTGTTCGCCCTTTGTTTTCCAAGATCGCGGTCGCAAGAAGCGGACAAGCCACTTTTCAACATAC